CTGCATCTAATGATCTGGTGATCTGATCATAAAAAGCCACCAGATTGGTCTGACAGGACCTGCCACTGATGAACCCGTGCTGATTGCCCCTAAGCATGCAGTCCCCTGCTGTCCCCTCCTGGATGTGTGCCAGAATTATTTTCTCAAACAGCTTGCCTAGGATTGAGGTAAGACTAACTGGCCTATAGTTTCAATACCTTCCTCTTAAATTCCTTTTTAATTATGGCTATATCTATCTAATATTTTAAGTGTTGGCCTTGCTGTCATGATTTTCATAATACATCAAAGCAATCCTGTATTTACAGCAATGAGAACAAGAAGAAATCAGAGAACCTGAATATGGTCAGCCCATTAACAATGGTAAGATCTGTGTTATGTATTAAGTTTCATAATATAAAAATAAAAACCTAGTTACAGTAATATTCCAATTGTGATTTATAAGGGCCTGTCTACCTTAGGACAGATTCACATGATAAACAATTTGCCAGTACATTTTATAAAGTGCCAGCAAAGATATCCCAGGCCAGGTGTCCCCCACCAAAGTGGCAGATGTTGGCATTCAGTGAATACTAGCAGACATTCTGAAGAACGTTTGTGGCATTCATTTACAATAGGTGGTTTATGAGCACAAAGAGTGGGAAATTTTCCATGATTCCCATTCTACCAAGTGTGAGTAAATTAAAACAAATGATAATTACATATTCAGTGATTAAATTAAAAAGTAAATTGAGAACTTTGGTTAAAAAAAAAGATTCTTGCATCCTTCACTTTGGATTAGCTGGCATTTGTGTCAGTTCCTATGTTAATCTCTTCATCCTTTTTAATGTTAAGAAGATAGTTAAATTTCACTGGAAGCTCAAATACTACAGTGATGGGCTTGCTAAGAAACAGTTAAAGAGATTATATTTTGTCATATTATAAAATGCCTTCATGTTATAACTACTGTTGGTCTTCATGGGCATGTCCACACATGCAGGCATGTGCATTTGCAGCAGCTCAAATAATAGAGGCACAAATTTGTGCTGGGAATTTTTGCCTCAGCACATGTGCCTGGACATACACTTTAGTGTAGGGCAAGTTGTGCCACTTGTCAGTGTTGAATCCCATCCTGTTCTCATCCGCCCACCCTTGTAATCTGTCTAGGTCCGACTGTAGCCTATTGCTCCCTTCTAGAGTGCCCACATCCCCCCATATCTTAGTGTCACCACTGCCCCATCCCTCAAGGCTGAAAATAACCCATCCACCACCACTCTCTGGGTGCGGCCATCCAGCTAGTTGAGGGATGTGGGCAGTGGGGTTCCACAGGGCTCGGTCCTCGGGCCCGCACTGTTCAACATCTTCATCAGCGACTTGGACGAGGGGGTAAAAAGCACCCTGTTCAAATTTGCTGGTGACACTAAGATGTGGGGGGATGTGGGCACTCTAGAAGCAACCTAATTGACTGTGTGGGTGTCGACACCACAGTCCCCCAGTTTCTTAATGAGAACAGGGTGAGAGACAGTGTTGAAGGCCTTCTGAAAGTCCAGGAAGACTATGTCCACTGCTACCCCTGCATCTAATGATTTGGTTATCTGATCATAGAAGGCCACCAGGTTGGTCTGACAGGACCTGCCACTGATGAACCCGTGTTGGTTGCCCCTAAGCATGAAATCCCCTGCTGGCCCCTCCTGGATGTGTGCCAGCATAATTTTCTCGAACAGCTTGCCTAGGATCGAAGTAAGACTAACTGGCCTATAGTTTCCTGGGTCCTCCTTCTTCCCCTTTTTGAAGATGGGAACCACATTGGCCCTCTTCCAGTCCTCTGGCACCACACCATAGCACCACGAGTGCTCGTAAAGCTGCACCGGGGTCCTGCAATGACCTCCGCCGATTCCTTTAGTACTCTAGGGTGGAGATCGTCCGGACCGGCTGACTTGAACACATCCAGTCCCTCCAGAAGCTCCCTAACTGGTTCCTCACTAACCCTTGGCCCAGGTGTGCCTCCCCTGGGGCTTGAGGGGGGCCCAGCGGGGGGGTGGCTGTTCTAGTCCCTGCTTAGGAAGATGGAGGCAAAGAAATCGTTAAATATGTTGGCTTTATCGTCTGGTGTGACGACCAAGTTTCCTAACATGTCTCTTTTGTTTTAATTTTGGAGGAACATAGATTTTGGGGTATTTTACAGAGTGACTTTGGGATTTTTTTATCAGGGATTTTTCAGTTTGCCAATAGGGAACACCAGAATTCCTGCTAGGGAGGCCAGTGGCAAGACCCTGCCTGCTCAGAGCTGGCACCTTGGATTCAGCTGGCTGTTGCTGACCTCCTGGCCAACTGATGGCAGGAGGACATGCTTTGGCAGTTCAAAGCAGGCTACCACACCTGGAACATCTTCCAGGCAATAGCTGCCCAGATGGCCAGGCAGGGAGCACACATGGCAGTAGTGCCACACAATGGCCAGCTTTGCAGCCACAGCCCACTGGCAGCTAACCCAGAGGGGGAAATGCCTCTACTGGCTCTGCAATCCCCATCAGGGTCTGGCAGGTGCACAGCAGGTCACAGCCAGACAGCAGCCCCCACTGCCAGACTGCTGCAGTGGGTAGAGGGTGCAGGGAACTCTCAGGGCTGCTTCAGCAGTTCAGCTGGCACAAGGGGTAGTGTTCCCAGGTACCAATTGGCTGGGCCCCAGAAGCTCCCAAGAGCGAGTAGCCTTAAGCTACTTGCTGGGGCAGCTTTTTGTACTGATTGGGCCAGGACAGGGCAGCTTTTTAAACTGCTGGGGATAGCACAGGTGCTGGCCCTAGGCTCTAGCTCCTCCTGGCTGGAGATCTGAGAGGAGCCAGGCAGGTTTATTTTGCCCCAAGTGGCACAATTTGCTCCATGACGAAGTTCATGTCCGAGCACATGCATTGAGGCAAAAAGCCTCTGCTCAGATTTGCACTGCTTCTATTTGAGCTGCTGCAAGTGCATGTGCTTGCATGTGTGGATGTGTCCACAAAGTCAAATTAGTAAGATATGATCTATGTATTTTTGTTGCACCACTTCAAATTATAGTGGACTATGAAATGGATAAAGTTAAAATGATACAACCTTTTAGATATAGACACAGTTCTACCAGTATAGATACTTATATTAGTAGAACTATTCCTATAAATTTAAAAATATTTCCATCAATTTAAATTTGATACAGTTAAAACATTATGAAAACTGTGTGCATACAGAATAATAAAACCCTAAACTTTTTTTGACTTCTAATGATCTTCGTCTGCACTTTTAACTTTGTGTTAATACTTTTAATATTGTATATTTAGAGAAAATTCAACTTTTATTTGTTTTTCCCTTTTCAGTTCCGGTATGCTGACTGGTTGGATAAATTACTGATGGTTCTAGGCACTACTATGGCAATCCTTCATGGAGCAGGACTCCCACTGATGATGATAGTTTTTGGAGATATGACAGATAGCTTTGTTACTTCAGAAAACATATCTTATCCAGGTAAGATAAATGCTTCATGTTACAGGGCTAAAGTGTTACATTTAGATTTAGATTTTCCTTTCACATTTCTTTTCTTGTATGTGTGTCTTAGAGCTTCAAACTGTTACATTTCTTTTCTAGTTTATGCTTTGTTGTTTTAAGCTAATTATTGTGGAAAAAAAGTCTTGTAATAATCTTGTTTTATTTGGAATCTTGTAACATAGTAGACTAACTGTACAACATTTGTGATCTTTAAGATATAAATTTAACAATGTACGTGTATTGGCAAAGCTTATTTAATATTATTTAACAGAATGAATATTGACAACAACCAGAATACAGGTATTTTAGAAGTGGGGAGAGTGAAGCAGAGAGTTATTAAGTAAAATTCAACAGCAACTTAGTGGAAAATTATTCTGATCGCACACCTCCCACCAGCATGCTTTGATAACTATGCTGCTTTCTTATCAACAATGACTAATTGAATAAAAAACTTACTGTTACCCAGAAAATGGGAACAGAATGTTTTTTACTACTACCACCATTGATTGTCCTCATGAATTTTCCTTGATGAATCTATATTCCTGGATTTTTATAGCAGTATCTGGAATAATGTTTGTAAAGCATTTTTGTGAACTACTGCATAAAACAAACTATAAGAATATGATGGACTATTGTTTGAAAAGCTATGGCTTTTGGAACTCATCTAACAATATACTGTATACCCCTGCAACTCCCCTTAAAGTCAAGGAAGGCCTAAAGTACCTAACACCTCTCAAGCTTTTGTTAGTACCTTGAAAGATTAGCAGTTTATAGAACAAAATTATTAAAATATGCTATAGTAAAATGTATTTAGAAGTTTTTCTTCTATGTTTTTCCTTAGGAAATTTTTCCTTGGGAAATTTTTCTTCAGGAATTTTTTCTTTAGGAAATTTTTCTTTCAATCTAATTGGGAGGCTGGAGGAAGAAATGACCAGGTAATTTGGATTTGTTAACTATCTTTATGGTTGCCTTTCTTTTATGCATGAATATAAATCTCTAGCCAACCCATTTTTCTTTCAAAAATAATGTTTTATTTTAAACAAGGAAATAAATACATAGTGTATGACTTAAATAATGGTCAAAATATTAAGTATGTCTACAGGAGCCCTTGTTCCACTGCTGCTTTTGTTTGGATTCACTGCATATGCCTGGAGTGTTCTAACATCTCTATTGCACTATGTGGAGATGTTATCCCATCCATTTCTTTTTCAGGGACTTCCTGCAATCTTCCTAAACTCTCCTTCATGTCAAGGACTCAATGTGATCCACCCCATTTGTCCTTACCCCATGTCAGGGTAGACTTTACCAAAGGTTCTGTTGCATCCCATTCCATCTTTTCATCCTTAATCCCATCCTAAACTCCTTCATTCTTTGCCCTGCCAGATGCCAAGTTGCTGCATTTCTGATCTCTTACCAAAGCCCACTATTTTATCTCCCTTCTGTGGCTCTTTCTTTCCCATACCTACCCCTCCCTTGCCACCTACCCACCACTCTGTTTAACTGTTTTTCCCTTCCCCTATGCCAGTATCTCCAATTCTACCCTTTATCAGAGTCTCTGCATACCCCCTGAGGAACTTCTCACCATGCCAGAGTCCCCCATTCTGCCCCTTTTCCAGATGCAGATATTTTTTAATTACAGACTCTTTTCCCCTTTGTTGCCTATACAAGGTTTCCTCACTCTCTTCCAACCAGTGTTCTATGTATCTTCCATTCTTCAGATGGCAGGAGTTCTTTGACCAGGTCTCCACTATCAATAATTTTC